GGTGATACTTGAGGCTTGATGTGCTGCGGTGATATGCGAATTCCTTTTTGCATAATTTGCACACAACCGTGCTCTTATCGACGCTTCCATCCGTCCGTTTTTTAAAACAACATTTCCCACTGTTGTTCACTGTGGTTTGTTGTTGTCTGAAGTCATGAACGTTAGTTGGTGCTCCAGTATAATCGGTACGCCTGAAACTCATCCAGTGAGAAACGTTCCGCGGTGCAAAAATAAGTGCGATTAAAATGCGTTAATTTTTTTAACGCGTTAATTTTTGTGTAATTAATTAATCTTAATTAACGCGTTAAAGTCCCGGCCCTAGTTAATATGCTTTATAGTCACTTTTTGGAAAAACTATGCAGTGAGAATAACTGATTAACATAATGGTTATACCACCACCACTTCTGTGAAGCAATTTCAATGTTTTCACTCGTTTGCTAATTAGTAGGCGCTCAGAAACCAGCCAGTTAAAACTTTAACGGCAGGCAGATTATGTGACATTCAGCATGAACCCTGCTCGTCAGAGGACTGTGCGTCAACCTGCAGTCAAACCAACACAACCCTCCACCATGAGTCATCAAAAAGTCCCAAATAATCTGCTCTGATGGGTAGTTATGCAATATAGGTGGTAAATGTGCTCACTGGAACTCGGGCACAAAACTGCACATTCAAAAGAGAAGGATAAAGAGAGGGAGAGCAGTGAGAGGAAAAGAGAGAGAGAGAGAGCAGATGTGGCCTTTGGGCTGAAACTGCTGAATCATCATGTCTCTTCTCATTACTTCCTCACATCAGGAGCCCTGAGCACTTTCTCTGGAGCCACACACAGAAACAGTGTCATGATGAAAGGCAGAGAGCCGGGAAGCAAAGAGGCGAAGAAAAACACACAGAGAGAGGGCGAGATAAACAGGAAAGAGCGTCACCTAGACGCCCGAAAAAAATAATGGAGATTCCCAGATTGTCTCATATTGACGACAGAGAGGGGAGGATTAAGACAGATCTCTATCTTTCTTTATCCTCCGCTATGTGCAGATGTAACCTTGAGAAGCCCTGGAGGACACTGTCTATCCCCTCACCCGCCAACATGGGTTTGTTACATAAGGACTACATGAGGCTGCTAGAACACACACATGCACACTCACACTCTGAATTGCCTGGAAAAAAAAAAATCTTACGGCCTTTTTTGCTGGACTTCCATTGTGGTCTCTTTTTGTGGCACAGTCAGAGTAAGCCGTCATATCAGCACAGACGATATTTGAGAGCACGGAGAATAAGCCATTAGATGTAGAGAGACGTGATTGTGTACTGCTTACTTTCTACAATAAAGGGGATGCCAGTTTCATCGAGAACAAACACGTTTCTTACTGCATGAATGTGTATTTTTTATCTGGCTATTTCAAGATGCATAGATATATTTAGAAAGGGAATTTTAAATAAGGAAAAACAAGAGCTTTATTTTGGCAAAAGGCAAATGCAGTTACACAGGACTAAAGGAGAAGAAGACACATGAGGAGAAAACAATATCCTATTTCTGCTTATCACTATCATCCACTGCAAATGTATCAACACAACCACTGTGACGGAACATTTATTATGATGTTTTAGTTCATAATTGACAGGTGTAATCTGATTGTAATTTCTTAGTCTGGGTGTAAAATGACTGTTTGTAATACGATTCTGATGATGTGTGGTCCAGCAGTACAGTAAACTGAGATACATTCAGTTATGGTATGTCTATGTTTGGTTTCTAAACAAAAAATACATTCAGGCTGATGCTATCCATCAAAGTACTTATTTTGGTGTGTGCAGAAAACCAGAGAGGTTCCCATATTTCTAAGTTTAGCCTTGATGTGCACGACATACAGAATCATTACAGAAGGGTCATTTCTGTTACCCCCTGATCCCACTGGAAGCGTCTGCGCTGCGGCTGCGCCGCGCTGCGACCTCCTCCTGCGTCCCAACCCACCAGGCGCGTTTCAAAACGTTGCGGAAGCGGAGCGTCGTGTGTGCAGCCTCGCAGTTGTTGGATGAACATTCCACTTCCTGCCTGCGCGCGCTGCGCCGCGTCAAAAATAGGATTCATCCTATATTTTAGAAATTCCTTGCGGCGAGGAGCTTCTGGGACGCTTCGAGCCGCGGCGCAGCGCGGCGCAGCGCGGCGCAGCGCGGCGCAGCGCGGCGCAGCGTGTCTGGTGGAATAGCACCCATTGACTAGAGTGGCCGCGATCGCTAAAAACGCCGCAGCGCAGCGCAGCGCAACGCAGCGCAGCGCAACGCAGCGCAGCGCAACGCAGCGCAGCGCAACGCAGCGCAACGCAGCGCAACGCAACGCAACGCAGCGCAACGCAACGCAGCGCAGCGCAGGTCGAAGCATCCCAGAAGCTCCTCCCCGCAAGGAATTTCTAAAATATAGGATGAATCCTGTTTTTGACGCAGCGCAGCGCAGGCAGGAAGTGGAATGTTCATCCAACAACTGCGAGGCTGCACACACGACGCTCCGCTTCCGCAACGTTTTGAAACGCGCCTGGTGGGTTAGGACGCAGGAGGAGGTCGCAGCGCGGCGCAGCCGCAGCGCAGACGCTTCCGGTGGGATCAGGGGGTCAGGCCCTGTTCTTAACTGAGTGGAAAATCAATATCATTTAGCAGAATACCTCTCTGGCCCAGATGCTTTAAGGAAGCTCTGTCTGCCTCCTCCCAAAGAATCTACATTAATATTTATGAATGCATCTGGTTCGGACCAGGACAGCAATGTAGAAACATATGTTGGAGTCCTTTTGCAAGAACCTGAACATGTTTCTATTTTACAGCAGTCACTTGACAGACGTTTGCATTGTCACATGAATTCACCGCAAACATGAAACCTATATGGATTCTGTATGTCACAACAAATTGAGAAATCTGATCTTTCTTTGTTTAGCCTGTGTGACAGCATTGTTAGTGGTGCTTACAATCACTTTGTTTAAGGTCTTAGACCATTAACGGGTTCAATAACAACAGGATACAGGAACTATTTTAACTTAGATTTTTTTTATGACAACCATATAAAAAGGCAGCTAACTACGGAGTAATAAGCTATATAAAAAAAAAGACAAGTAGTCAGAGTAAGAATTAAAAAACAAACAATGATGGCCCATCTGACTTGGGAGTCCATTGGTAGTTACGTCCTAGGGGTATTGGTGTCATCATTACCATGGTCTGCTATTAAAAGTAAACTCTCAAACGTTTTTTCTCTGGCACAGTACGGTAGTTTGCTGTTGCTCATGTGTTTAGCAGGTGAAAAGAGTTAGTAAACACAAACCTCTCTTAGCCCCTCCTCTCAGCATTGACAGTTTACAATTCAAATGATCAGAGCCTGAAAAAGCTCATTATACATCAGACATACTGATTATGCAATTCTGATGAGTGCCCCCTCCATATTTATTACAAGGGGGACTTTGTTAAGTAAAGTCAAAGCATTCAACTGCATCTTTTCTAAATGTAAGCTGCAGACACATCCTGATGGTGGCAGCCATCCAACCATAAGCCACCAAAACACTTTCAGCAAGAGACACAGGATTACCATAATGCAGAGCTGCCAGTTACATTCAGTAGGTACTGTGTCGTGGAACCTCAGCACTCATGCATGTGTCCACACATGATGTAGCATTATAGAGCTAATCCTGGTCTGATTGTGTTGGAAGTCATATTGACTACAGTGAAAAGCTTTCAGTCCGTTTCGTGTACCAGTGTCTGTAACTCAGACAGTGCTTCATCAATTAAGCATGGCACCGCCTTATTCCAAAACAAATGCCAGTAATACAAATAGGATTATAGATAGATAGTATTGTGGACTTTCAATACTCAATTTAAAGAGAATGGAACTTGGAGCCAGAATGGGTAGCAGTGGGAATGCAGTTAGTGGCATTTGCATTTTACATTTTGCTGACACTTAAATCTCAGGATCAGATACCTACAATGGCAAATTCCCAAAGAAGGATTTGTTAATATATTTTTTTATGGGCAGTCAAACATGTTTCAATACATTTGTGTGTCAAACATTTACTGAAGTAGAGTTGGAAATTATTTTACAATCAATCCACACTACAAAAAGTCCTTTTTAAACAGTAGAAGTCAGCAAGTAGAGTCAGCTTCCAACATTATATGGCCAACCAGCGTTCCACACAGGCTCAAGTTCACATAAAAAAGAAGGGAAATCACAACTCAATGTTCACTTGCTTACTTGTCTGCTTTGCTTTTGACCATATCACATACGTTTGTGGGACAGTCAAATATAATTGCAACATTACAACGGTCCAGAAGGTCCATTCAAAATGGAAAGGTCACGCGTGTCGCCACTTGATCACACATACAGGGATACAGGAAATGAAACTACACTGAGATAATGACAGCAATGAATGGCTGTAAAATCCATGATCAACATCGACTCAGGAAAACCTTTGTAGCCTGAAAAAGTGATTTGCAGAAACAGCAGGCAGTGAGTAAGAGAGCAAACATGATTACACTGCCAAGCGCTTACATTTCGCTTGTGTTTGTGATGTTTTATTCAGAGCTATCTGCTCTTTTACGACTCTGAATGATGTATGAGTTGATATAAGGATCATATCCAACGTGTGCTGTCGAGGGATAGAAACAATAACTCCTAGCTCTCCTAACACTCGCTCACAGACATAAGCATGCAGGCACATGAGTCATGACGTCAGAAAGGTTCACATAAAACACTTTCTATTTAAGGAGAGGATGGAAAACATTTAAATACAAAGACACACAAACAAAAAGGATGTGATCATTATTTAAGGATTAATGGAAGATTAATATCAATTTCACGTATCTGTCAACGTTTAGCCAATGCACTTGTGTTCCAATTTTTTAAAATATATTCCTGGCTGACTATAACCCAAACATTTCTTCACACCAAATCTGAACAGTAAAATAAAAAGCCAGCTAGCACAACCACCCAACTTCCCATCAGTCAACTCCCATAACCCCTCAGTGAAGTCACTTACCACTCATGCTGCGGCTCATCGATGACCAACAGGATCTTGAACTTCTTGGAGAGTGAGGGAGAAGGAGCAGACTGCTCCACAAACCCGGCGGCGGACGCAGCCGTCTGTTTGACCACGTTGGTGATGGAGCTGATGGAGCTGAAGGAGCTGAAGAAGCCAGAGGAAGAGGAGGAAGACGGGGCCTGTTGGGGCTGCGGAGCCGCCTGGCTCATACGGCGCTCCTGGACAGCAGGGCTGGCTGGAGCCTGGGATGGGGATGGAGATTTGGTAGGAGACAGGGCTGGCACCGCTGCTGCTGGTCCACCTGGCTGGGAAGGGGAGGTGGCGGTGGGCGGAGGGGTGGCAGGTGGGTCTGCCCTCTGCAGGTCTGACATGTAGCCATTGGGCAGGTTGGACATGAAGCTGCTGTCAGAGAGACGGCGTCGGAGGAAGTTCATGATTGCGGTTGAAGGGTCGGCTTCTCACTGTGTCTTGATTTCTTGGCTGATTGGAGTGAAACGGGGCGGAGATGGTTACAGAGAGAGACCCTGACCAGAGGTTGGATGAATGACAGCGAGCAAATCAGTCCAAATGATTGAGGTGTGTGTAACGGAGAGCTGCTTCTGAGTTGGAGGAATGGGAAGCAGGAAGAGGAAGATGGATGAAGCGATGGATAAAGCTCTGGTCCAGTCTTCAAGAGACAGCTCTCCCCAGCACAGCTAAGCCAGCAAACAGCGTGCGTGTGTGTAGTGTTCTTCCTTCTGAGCCTCACGCCTCCTCACAAATGCGTGTCTGTGACGTTCGAGCGGTGTGTCCAAGAGAGAGAGAGAGGTGTGTTGTCGCCCCCTTTGGTTAGGCAGGTGTTCTCCCCCCTCTGCTCTGCCGTCCTGCCTCCTGAGCTGCTGCGAGCTGAATGTGCTCAGAGATGCTGCTCTCTCTGCTTATCTCACCCTCTCACTCTGCCCTTTCCCTCACTCTCTCCCTCACTTGCCACACTCACTGGATGCCTCCCCCTCCCCCCTCGCCTACTCCTCTCTTCTGTCATCATCCTCCTACATCATAGGCTGCGTAAGTGTGTCGTGCTGCAGCCTTGTAGCGTTGCGTGCCGTGTGCAGCCACTGGAAGGGGGTTTCCTAGCGCGCATAAGGTGGAGTTCAGGGATGGATACCCTGCTCTGAAAACCACACCTCCCTCTCCCACCATCCTTCCCTCCATCTTTCTACTCTCCTCCTCAACCTGTCTTTCCTTTGTCCATTTTCCCGCCATTGTGGCACTGCTGACACGTTTTTTAGTGGATTCATTCTCATAGAGCTGAACACATATCCCCCTTCTGAGGATGCGCTTATGCCAATATGTTGTCATTCAAAGCATGTGGAGTAATGGAGGGCAGATATGAAACCACTGAAGCATAGTAGAGATTAACAGGAAACGGAGAAAGGAAGAGGGGACAGGGACACAGATTCATTCCTCTGCAGCGGCTTAATGATTCCCTCCAGTGGAACGTGATGCTCCTCAATAATGTGCATTGCTCTAAAAAAGCAGCACATGGAGGTAATGGTGGCATGGATAGAAGCAATGCTAGCGAGGACCCTGTAGCGACAAGTATGTGATCTCTGAAATGGATGTATGGTGGCAAATAATCCACAGATATTAAAATGGTAATAATAATAATGGGTTCCATTTATAAAGCACTTCATATTTGATTTAAAATCCCAAAGTGCTACAAGTAGTGAGCATGAACAGTATAAATAAACATTACACAACACGGTAGAATTAATAAAAAGCAATACAAAAATAAAAATAAATAAAAGGGTGATAAAAAGGTCTAGGCAAAGGCTCTTTTGAAGAGATGGGTTTTGAGGCCTTTTTTAAAAGCCTCCACGGTCTGTGGTGCTCTCACTTGGTCGGGGAGAGCGTTCCACAGACTGGGAGCAGCCGAGCAGAAGGCCCGGTCTCCCATAGTACGGAGCTTAGTCCTGGGGGGTTTGAGGAAGTTGGAGTTGCTGGAGCGGGTGGTCCGCAAGGAGGTATGGGGGGTGAGGAGTTCCTTGAGGTAGGGAGGTAGATTGCTAAAAATGGCTAAATCTGTTAAACTAGTGAGTCACTTTGTTGGCAAACGTCCTCTCCCAAGCAGAACACAATTAGAGACATGGATGTCGAATCACATGCTCAAATACATAAATGCCTTCTAGCTTCAGAGGAAATACTCTACAGCTTGGGCTATTTGCTTATCTGTCTATTTCACTTATTACTCTTAAACAAACATCTCCTTCCTATGCCTGGCTTCATTACGCAGTCAGTCTTTCAGAGCAGGAGAAAAGCACTTCTTCTAAATGCCAGCAGCAGCAGCAGCAGTAGTGTCTACACAGCTCCAAGCGTAACAAAAAGACAGAAGATGAGGAGAAAAGAGGAAGAAGGGGGATTATTCAAGTAGGAAGAAATCCCACAAATGAAGAAGAACAGAAAGACTGCAGGAGAAGAAATGATACAGCGCTACAGTAGATCCATCTTGACTTCTTAAATATGTGTTAACTAATTAAGACATTTTCTCCGACCACTTTATCAGATTTGACTGCTCATAGAGCGTCAAGCATTGAGATTCCTCGAAGCAAACCACTTTCTACACTGACACCATCTCAATTGATGGAAATGATGAATTCCTTGACCTTTATGACATTGAAAGGCTGCTTTCAGTTTTTACTGAAAAACACTCTTATCTCTTCCAAACCTCAGCTATTTTTGAGTGACTCACACATTGGGGTTTGTTACACGCAGAAGAGGAGGGAGTGGCGTACAGATGACTGCACAAAATGGCACGGTATTCCATCAGCAACTACACTCTTTCTATTCACCCCTTTATGTGAAAGGTTTAACAGGTGAACATCAAACTGTGACAGAGATGAACTGTGCTCTTAAATCTATGTGAGACCATTCTTTAAGGGTGCTTCAAAATGTATGCTTTGTGACACAAAATGTGCTGATGACAGAAAAAAGGTGAACCCACTTTTCTTGTCATAGAAAACGAAATCTCCAGAGACGTGTCAGAACATGAATCGTCCATCGGACTCAAGTGAGAGAGTGGTAAAGCGAAATACAATGCTGTCGAATATTGCAAAAAACAAACCTGTGTTGTTATATATTTTTGCACAACATGCAGGATGCACATTTGTAGTCACAATGAGTCAAGCCCAGCGAGTGGTGGGGGGGGTGTGTGTGTGTGTTCAGTCAACCAGCAGAGAGCCGAGTGAGTCACAGCGCTGCAGTGTGAATTGTAGCGACACACTAAGCTCATCCTGCCCTACATGTTTCAGGACACAAACACGACACTTCATAACACATATTCAATCTGCCGTCATCAAATAAATGTGTGTCGTATACACACACTGCCGTGTAGTCGTGTACACAAAAACACAGATGCTGACATACAAACACATCCAGCCCTCACTACGTTTTAAGCGTTCTGCACAAACAAGTGAGTTGACTCATTATAAAAACACTAATTTATTCAGAAACGAATGTGATCAGCAGATGGGATGAGTATTTTAGAAATACAACACTATATTTAATGATTTCTCATTCCTGTGTGTGTGTGTGTGTGTGTGTGTGTGTGTGTGTGTGTGTGTGTGTGTGTGTGTGTGTGTGTGTGTGTGTGTGTGTGCACAGGCCTGGGTAAATGCTGCCTCGTGGGGATTTGCTGCAAATACCCAAGTGTGTGTGTGTGTGTGTGTGGTTCAGTATGACAGGGATCAACCTCCTGTGGCTTCACTGGATGATTTGAGATTTAGAACAATCTGATATTATTGGGTTATGTGAACATCTGGCATCATCTGTCAATGCTTGTGACATGTTGTAGTACATGCTACAATCTCAGTACAGGGGCACACATGTAATTGCAAATTCAAACATTGACAATAATGAATGAATTCAATTCCAACTCAATCCAAATGTTATCGATTGGTAAATAACTCTGATATGTATGGCAGTTAATAAAGAAGAGTAAAGAAGAATGGATAGGAGTCTAACTGGCAGGGAGGCATCTCAGATACACCGCAGGTTGATGAAAACCCAGGGGAGTCAACCCAGGAAGCGACAGGGTTATATAATGATGTAAACTCACAGTCTAGTCCTGTCTTCACACAAGCTCTTGCTATGCTAGGCCATTACAGAGGTCAACTCCCGGTGCCTCTTGCATTTCAAATTAAATCAGTGATTACGCTATGACTCAGTTGAAAAACAAGAAGAAAAAACATGGATTTAAATATCTATCCAGCCTTTGAAGCTACTTTAGGGAATGATGTAGAACCATCCGAGCTATTATGAAAGATGGCTCTCTGAATGAACCTTAGCACCGCTGGCTGGTTGGATGGATGGATGGATTGATGGAGTTACAAGATTAAAAACACCCACGCACGACTCAGATATCTGCAGCAAATCCCCAAAACACCTGTACACACAGCAAAATGGACTTCTGTGTTGCAGTGCTGAATATAGACTGACTGATTTGAGCTATAGACATATTTGAAGGGTGCCTTTTTACACAACACAAAATTCAAGAGTGAAAACGACCATGGCGACAATACAAGTTGGTTCGGGAAGCACAATAAAATAAGTCACTGATGGACTGTTGAATCAGCGTACTTTATACCACAAGCAATGTAAGGTAAAAAAAAGCCATGCTAGTTTTCAGGCACCCAACTAGATGGATGCTGGGGTGGAGTTAGGGGTGTAACAGCAAAGCTTTCAGGTCAGCGGTGCAGCAGCAGGCGAGGCAGAGATTAAACACAACAGCATTTTTCAAAAGGGATTGGCATATCTACAACACGACCAATGATATTACACGCAACATCACACACATTTGGATTCCACCATTCTTTTTCAATGCGACACCACAATGGTCCATACCATAAATATAACAGATTACTCCACGCAAATGAAAGATAAGCAATGATTGCATTAGTCTGTATCAAAGTTTTCTCATCAAATCTGATCTTTACAATACTTTAAGCATTTGTGCATAACAATCGGAGATCATGGTAACAAACTATAAGTCTAATTGTCCTCTCTCATGCGTGTTAGCTTCAGACGTTCTTATTATGAATCACACTGACCGATTGCTTCAGTGGAGTAAGATAAGAGTGTCCGCTTGTGTTTGTGTCTTCTGCTGGGCCTGGAGCAGCTGTGTATCTAAAGAAGATGTGTGTGGTTAATGGTGCATTTCTTTTGATGTTCAAGAACAAGGCATCAGAAGCAAGGGCAATCTCCATGGCAACTGGCGTAAAATATTCCCCTATAGTGCATGTGTGTACACGTTTGTATTCACACATCGGACATGTGTGTAAGCAAGATGGTGCTTCACTATGGCTTTACTATCAGGTGACGGTTTAATTGCCTCAGAGGATTAGCAGCATTCACTTCAATCTGTATTCATCTTCTTGTACCTCTGCCAAGGAGTTCATGTTTTCGGCTCAGTTTGACTACCAGGAGGATAACAGAAAACCTGTTTACCCCAATGTTATGAAATGTGTTGAAAAAGCCTGGACCAAGGATACAAAGATTATGTTTTATTTTCGTTAACTTTGCAGGCGTGCTAGATTCTTGTGATACGTATAACAAAAATAGTTCCCAACTAGGCAAACTGTCGTGAATGCCCCCTTAAGTCGGAACATTTTTCATACATATATCAAGGTGTAGTTTAAACACCCTGAGTACAAAACTACAACACATCTTCTTTGTAGCGTTTCTACGTTACTACTTAAAATGTCAGAAACAAACCAAAGTCAGAAGAACCTCTTCCAAACTCATGATGTGGGACCATCCAAAGAACATGTGAAATCACCTTTGGCAGAGGTCTGCTCTGCACCCTCCATTATGCCTTCTGAAAATCCTCTAAAGAGGCTGACTGATATTTATGTAGTAACAGCAGCAGTAAACTACCTTCTGGGTCTTTGCCAAGCCAAGCCAAATTAGCTGCTCCTGTGGAGGCGA